TAGGACCAACGTTACACTGCCCTCTGGTGATTTTTTTGAATCTTGTTACAAGGAAGTGTCAAAACCTATTTGGTTTTTTATCATGGTATTATAAGCGGGAACTGTTTTTCAAATGATGATTCAGAATCTTATTTGTTGCGCATTCAGGCTATCATTCATTTATTTTGAATGTGCTTCGGCCTATCATTTGCGAACTCTTATCAAGCTTGTTACATTCCTTATCTTTTGAAATCTTACCTATAGCGCATAGTAGCTTTACGGAAGAAATCTATTTTCATGTTGAGGATTTGATTATCAAGCTTGTTACTTTCCTTATCTTTTGAAATCTCTCCTATAGTGCATAGTAGCTTTACCCGGAAGAAATCTATTTTCATGTTGAATATTTCATTGAGTTAGAGTTTTGAATGATTGCGAGATTCGCGACCATTATTTTTAATTCCCATCACTTTCGTATATGAAGCAAGACAAGAGTTCTTTTAGATCTTTCGATCAAGTTATGACAGACCTCACATGCGTCGTTAAGCTCGATAGTGGTGCAATACGAAAGCTGTTCGCTTTGGGAGGAACGGCAGTAAGTCGTGCCTATACAGCATTACTCAATTGCCACTATATTTGCGAATTCAGGTGCTAACGTTACAAGATTTCTTTCGTGAAGATGACGTTTTCATTGCATATGGAAATGAACGAGCTAGCGCCGACGACTTCTTGGTGATATCTGAAGGTATTGTTTCTGTTCCGTTTTTGCTACTGTAAATCTTCTATATTCTCATTTATTTTTTATTGTTTTTTTTTGGATTGAAATATTCCTATCGTTCTTTTTTTCGGTTACCATGTTTCTATTAAATCATGCTGTTGTTGTTGTTGTTGGAGATGTCTAATGCTGTGAATTCGTAAAGCATTTTAATAGAAGATTAGAATTCTTGATTGAAATTCATCATCTCGACGTTTTATGACATCTGCGAATCCTCAAATGCTTTTTTGTTGCTTGTAACGCTACGAATGGATGATTCAGAGATTTCTCACGCCCAATCAACTATGATGACTTCTTCTTCCCTTCCTTTTCCATTTCCATGCCCGTCCTGACTGGTTTATACTGAATGCATCAATGTCACATACGCTCTGACGCTTTATTTCTTTTCAACACTTTAGTACTTTCTTCTTCCTTTGTATCGCCAAATTTTCTGTGAATAGAACGAAATTAAGAAACAATTTTAAAGTAATTGAATTAAATTATCGCCTTCAACGAAGTTTTGGCAAGACTTTTTTGAAACAAAAAGATGTTCATGTGACATAGGATTAGAATATCAATTGAAACAGTAATAGTATGATTTAACTGTCCTTATACTTCAATCT